TTTTAGGTTGCTTTTATATATATATATATATATATATATATATAATGCATGATCTAAATGTTTGGTTAACGATTTAATTGATATATCATTTGCACTTCATTAATGTAAGAAAATGCAATGCAATGCAAAACAATATAATATTTAATCACATGAAATTTGATACATACAACTTAAATAGAAATTCTACCAAATTCAAATAGACCAATTGATGATGATGATGATGATCATAATAATAATAATAATAATAATAATAATAATAATAATTATTATTATTATTATTATTATTATTATTATTATTCGGAAAACTTATACATTAGATCATTATTTCATAAAAGAATCTATGATGAATAATGAAATAAACATTTTCCCATGAACTTTGAAACCTTTTCAATTTGAACCTTATGAATAACAATTGAATCGACAATGAAGCTAAAAAACAATTAGAGAGATGAAAGGTAGAGAGAGAAAGTGGAATGGGTATGGCAGGAGAAGCTGCCGTAACGGATCAATGGAGACCAGGCAATCACGTTCAGTGTTAGATTAAAATTATAATATAATAAATTAATAAATAAATAAATAAAATAAAATAAAATAGAGTATTATAAAGTTTAAATCAACTATGAAAATGCATTAGCTTGGAGTAGAGACATGTAAATTGATGTGCATGAAATAATTTCATAAATGAAATTATTTTTATCAACATTGACTGAATTAACTCCTATTTACGAAAATTAATAGAGAGAAGAAAGTAATACCTTTAATTGAGGGCAACTTAAGCTTAGAGTAATGACCAGTGTCTACAACCACAACTCTAAAAATTTGTTCCACGACTTTCTTGGTATATTTTTCTTTGCTCTTTGTAATCCATTTTTTATATTTCCAAACTCACAATAATCCAATATGGTTCCCTACTTTAAAAATGTTATTCAAAAAGCACGACAAAAGTAAGGAGAAAAGAACAAATTAATACTAAATTGGAGCAAAGTCATTTTCTTTTTTTGGTAAAAAAAATTTCGAGGGTAAATAGACTGTTCAATCCTCCAGGTCAAGACAAGATGTGTCGTACCTGACAGCCTAAGATAAGTGACTGCAGGTCGTGCATTCGAGATACCCCAACAAATGATCACTGACAAGACTCGAATCTAAGACCTCTTCGTTGAGAAAAATAACCTTAATCAATTGAACCAACCATTTTTTGGTGAAGCAAAGTCATTGAAACATAGCAAAAGGTACAATAAACTTCACATTAAGCATAAAGAAAAATAAAAAATAAAATCCAACAACAAAATCTACATGCATACAAAGAATGACAAACTAAATCCTCTTGATGCCTTGAAATCTCAATTACACCTCCAATAAACAAAATGAAATAAGTCTCCAGCTAACTTTGTTGTGGTCGAGAATCCATTTGATTCATTATTAAATGTATAATGTCACAATTATTTTAATATCTAATGAAGATTGCAAGCACACAATTATAATCGGAAAAGCATAAGATAATAAAAAGGTTAATATAATATCAAATCTATTTGATTTGACCATTGATTAAAAAAAGTAAATGCATCTATATTACATTGATTAAAAGTATTTAAAACAAAAAAATAAAATCCTAATATCCAAAGTTTAAAAAAAAAAAAAAAACCATAAGAAATGCTGGACGTCAATTGTTGTTTTGAAAGAGGGACATATGCTGGAAGGAATTCATGCATCCATAATTTTAGGTTGCTTTCTTTTTTATAAAAAATGCATGATCTAAATGTTTGGTTAATGATTTAATTGATATATCATTTGCATAACATTAATGTAAGACAATGCAATGCAAAACAATATAATATTTAATCACATGAAATTTGATACATACAACTTAAATAGAAATTCTACCAAATTCAAATAGACCAATTGATAATAATAATAATAATAATAATAATAATATTATTATTATTATTATTATTATTATTATTATTATTGTTATACAGAAAAATTATACATTAGATCATTATTTCACAAAAGAATCTATGATGAATAATGAAATAAACATTTTCCCCTGAACTTTGAAACTTTTTCAATTTGAACTTTATGTATAACAATTGAATCAACAATGAAGCTAAAAAAAATTTAGAGAGATGAAAGGTAGAGAGAGAAAGTGGAATGGGTATGGCAGGAGACGCAGCCGTAACCGATCAATGGAGACCAGGCAATCACGTTCAGTGTTAGATTAGTGAAAAAGGAAGTTGATAACAGTTTTTGTTGATAATATCCACCCTGCTGGCAGGGAAGCAGAACTGTGGGGCAAGATCATGCAACCCGGGAGAATCCTTGACTTCTACATTCCCCTCAAGAGGAAACTGTCTAGGCGTAGCAAATTTAGCATTTTTTGCTTCAAAGATTTGCGTGAGACTCTCTCAGTCATAAGGGCTTTGGATGGTTCAGCGTGGAATGGATGGAGACTAAGGGTGAGCCTGGCCAAATATGAGAAAGGTTAGAATAGCACCCCTGCAACAAAACATGTGCAACGAAAACATTCCTTACTCCACCTATCTCGTGTATGGAGTTAAAGGAGGATGCGAGACCTACCTATGCAAAAGTAACAAAAAGGCATGCTCCACCTCAGCAGGAAACACTGATGGTAGGCAATGCCAATGCAACAGAGCCAAAGGGGATTGTACAACCGGTACTAGGTGACAAGACTCAAACACAAAACAAGATTGTTGTGGAAGAGGAAGAACTGGAGACAGCATGGTTGGAGAAGTGTGCGGTGGCGGCAGTCAAAAACCCTCACGCTATTAACATGCTTTAGCAGTACATTCTTAGTGAAGGAGTTATGCACTTTTCAATCACATTGATGGGAGGAAGTATGGTACTTCTACAGTTTGAATCCAAAGAAGATATGTTCAGCATGCTTGAGGGTGGCAGAGCGTGGCGTGAACAATGGTTCTTTTGGACTGTGTCTTGGAGCCGTGACTCAATAAGCTATGATAAATTTATCTGGCTCAAGCTAGAAAACATTCCGTTCCATGCATGGTGTTATGAATTCTTCAAGAAGGTAAGGAACAAGTGGGGCACGTTCATCACAGTAGATGATAGTACTACGAGGAGAATGCGTCTTGATGTTGCTAGAGTTTTAACCCTTGTTAGGAAAGATGCTTTTATCCCAATCCTATTCACAATTCTGTTACGAGAAAGGTATTATTAAGTTAAAGTCACGTTGGAAGGAAGTTACGATTTCCTGTGGAATTCGGGGGAATTCGGGGATGAAACAAATTGTTTAAGTAAAATCGAGTGCATCATCATCAAGCTCCAGTTCTTTTGAGAATAACAAAGTGACAAGTTTCCGTGAAGAAGAACAGTCGGGTTGGGAGCATGAGGATCCGAACAGACAAAGTGTGAATGCAGCCTCGAATTAACTTGCTTCGAAATTTATTAGCCTAAGAAGACGAAAAGATAATGAAACCTTGGGAATGATGACACAGCTGTGATTAAGGCTCAGGAGCAGCCAAATTCAAACAAGTCGCGTGCCCAAGACAAGACTGCAGCGGTTGGGTGGATTATCAATGCCAATGATAAGTAAATAATTGGTCAAGAAAGATTATGCTCTGATAGGGACATGCAGGTGGGCTGGCTCAGTTGCTTGGGTTTAAGGTATTCTCCTATTAAAGTCGAAATAGGCAATGGTTGTGGGTCAACTCATGACCCAGATACCACAACTGGGTCACATGCTAATTTTGGGCTTGAATTAGGAAAAGAGAATGATGTGGGCCTGGATAATCAGTAAATAGCAAAAGTATTGGGCCAAAATCCAAAATGCAACTAGGGTAGAAGAAGATGTGGAGAATGTTGACAAAGTTTCTGAGATAGAACTGGGTAGCATGGCTCTGGAAAACCGTGGAACAACCCAAAGTGGGAAGAAAATATATACTGTGACCGAGCATCCCACCACCTTAAAAGGAGTTTTAATAAATAAAACTCCTTTATTTTTTATATTCTTTAATGAAGAAAGTTAAAGCGAAGGAAAGAAAGAAGCTGATGATGCCACGTTAATGGATTTAAAAATAGTCAAAACTGATCAAAATGAGTAGAATTTAACTAATGGATGAATAGATTTCGTCCTGACACAATAAACAACAAAAGCATTTGCTTGGACAATTTAAAACACAAATACGAGTCATATTGGAATATTTGAATTTTGATCAAATTATATTTATGTGATGATCATGTCAACACATTTATCACATAAAAATGTTTAAATTTTGTATGAGTTTGACCAATCTAACATATACATCATACATAATTAATCATTTTCGTATGTATGTTAATTTATGTTTTCATATCTTACATTTAATATTCACATTTCATCGTGACTTTTATTGTTTCACATGCAAAATATCCATTATGGGTTAATTATTAGTAGGAACAGCAAAAAAAAATTTTGTAAGGTCAAATCAAAATAAAAAGTAAAAAAAAAAAAACCCACATGTAAATTAATTATGAGATTCAATTAATAAATCATGTTAAAGTTCAAAAGATTTCTTAATAAATTTTGATATTTTTATTTAAATTTGTGATGTAGCTATAAGTTATGGTAAACTTTTTTTTAATGTTAATCAATTATTGATAACCTTTTTTATAAATTTTTGTTTAATTAATTTTCAAATATGATGGATTTACTCAATAAGTTTTACTAATCTGTCAATTTTGGTTAGAAATGACCAAAATGAACATAAAGGAAAAAAAACTTAACCAAAAAAATTCAAACCTAACTAAACTTAAATTGATTTGATTCGAAAATTCAAAATATTCAAAATTATATGTAATTCAAATTCAAAACAATCTGTACTATAACATTGATTTGATCAAAACATGTAATGATTTAGAATTATCGACTTTTATTAATTGTCAAATTTAATTTAAGTCAAATTCAAGACAATCCGACTAAAAAAATCCAAATCTAAAACAGATATTTTAGCAAGTGAAACGCCACTAAATGACCTTGGCTCGGAGGTTCAAAAGTCAATGTCTTCCTGCATGATAGGGTTCATCCCGCTCGGACTTGGAGATGGGCTCGTGGAGCAATATGTAATACCGGATATCTTGGGCGAAGCATAAAATGTTTCTTGGTCTTGATTTTCCAAGGGTCCTAGAAAAGGCACTACATGTGAGCCTAGAGTACAAGTGTGCCGTCCGTGGTAAGTCATCTCAAAGATTGTTGGGTTGTCATCAGATCGCTGAACTTGCTTTTGAGCCAGACAACCTTGTGCATTTCCGGAGATGCACCAGTAATAGCTTCTGTAATTAAAAAAAAAAAAAAAAAAAAAGAGGATGGTTATTGGTTAAGCTATGATTTTACATGTATAATGGTGGTTATACAGCTAACTGTTCAATGATAGAAGAAGAAAAGAACAGCTAAATCCAGTTAAATTTGTTATCATGCTCTAGTATATATGAGGTCAGGCAAAGCTCAATGGCAAGAGTATGCGGAAAAATTTATGAATTACCGGCAGGAAAGCTTTAACCAGTGACATGTTGACAACAGATACGGTCAGGCTTTTAGGACTCTGCCAAAAAACTCAGCATGCTTTAGAATTGAAATGGACCAAATATCAATTGCTAATTATTCTCGTGGAGCATTACTTAATATATATACATATATAGAGTATTGATTTGCTTTATGCTTTTGTTCTTATTCATTACAAAAGGAAAATTCTCAAACCTTGGATATTTTGATCCGAGAATTTCTTTTTGCTCATATTTCCTCCAAGAGAAGCCATCGTCTGGGGATACCTCCAAGCTTGTAGACGGAACTCGGATTAGTTCCGCCAATCTTAACAGAGTTTTTCTGCAACATAACAATCTATTGCATGAAATGACTTGGAAGTTGGGACAAGGCTTTATTAACGAGTTGAGTTGAGTTGAGTTTTATTGTAAAGTGCTTGTGTTTTATCTATACCTTTCCTTAGAGTCATCTTTGAGCTCCTGTTCCTCGAAATCACAGTCATGGACCTCACTACGGGGAGTACTTCCAACACGAGGAGGTTGCGACTCTGGCATTCTGATTGCTTGTTCAGAGGGCTGTGGCTTTGCCACCAAAGAGGTATTGCAGTTCAGCATTGAAATGCTTTCCAATACGTGGAACATACAGAAGAGGTTCCTTGGTCTTGATTTTCCAATGGTCCTGGGAAGGCATACATGTGAGGCAGAGTACAAGTATGCCTTCCGTGGTAAGTGATCTCAATAGTTGGTTGGGGTCATCATCTGATCGCGTTACTTGCTTGTAGCCTTACAACCTTTTTCATGTCGGATGGGGCACCTTGTAATTAGGCTCTTAATAATAAGAAAAAAGGACGGTTATTGGTTAAGCTAGGATTTTACATGTTTAATAGTGGTCATACAGCTAACCGTTCAATGATAGAAGAAGAAAAGAACAGCTAAATCCAGTTAAATTTGTCATCATGCTCTAGTATTTATGAGGTCAGGCAAAGCTCAATGGCAAGAATATGCGGAAAAATTTATGAATTGCAGGCAGGAAAGCTTTAACCAGTGACATGTTGACAACAGATAAGGTCAGGCCTTTAGGACTCTTCCAAAAGACTCTGCATGCTTTAGAATTGAAATGGACCAAATATCAATTGCTAATTATTCTCGTGGAGCATTACTTAATATATATATACATATGTAGATTATAGATTTGCATTATGCTTTTGTTCTTATTCATTACAAAAGGAAAATTCTCAAACCTTGGATATTTTGAGCCGAGAATTTCTTTTAGTCCAAATTTCCTCCAAGAGAAGCCATCATCGTCTGGAGGTCCCTTCACGCGTGTACCATGCGTAACTCGGATTAGTTCCTTCAATCTTGACACAATTTTTCTGCAACATAACAATCTATTGCATGAAATGACTTGGGAGTTGGGACAAGGCTTGATTAACGAGTTGAGTTGACTTGTATTGTAAAGTGCTTGTGTTTTATCTATACCTTTTCTTGGAGTCATCTTTGAGCTCCTGTTCCTTGAAATCACAGTCATAGACCTCACTCAAGGGAGTACCTCCAATACAAGGAGGTGGTGACTCTGACATTCTGATTGCTAGTTCTGAGGGTTGTGGCTCTGCTGCCAAAGAGGTATTGGACTAAGAATTCATAAGTTTCATGAGAACAAGTTATGAATACTTAAAAATGTTTGGCAGGCATACATGCATGCATAGCATGTTGTTTTATAATTTAGTCACCAATACTCCTAAAATGTGTAGCATAAAGTTTCTATAATAGCAGAATATACATCAGCCGATTTTCTGCTCTTGACTAAATGGCAGGTAACTTTGGATTAAACTAGGAAATGCTAATAAAACATCCTCTCAAAGACCCGAATTGAATAATTACCTGATTGTTGGGATTCATCTCGAATCAAAGCTTCAGGAATACCTTCATATTCTGCCAATTTCAAATGCATCAATAGAAGCACACTGGTTTTCCAAATAAACAGCAAAATGAGGATAAATAAATCTAGCAAGTGTCAATACATGGATTGGATTATCCAGGCCCCACACAAATTCAAGTGCATGCAATCCTTTTGGTTTGTTATTTAATATTAACCCTCAACTTGTAGTATGACTAGGGAGATTCATATTTCAAGAAAAATTCATCATTCAGATATAGCTGTGTTTCTCTATCTGCATCTAGACTTAGTTGACAGGAAAAAAAAAATTAGAAACCTTAAAAGTTCAGAAGAATTAATTACCTGGTTGTACACCTATATCTTGTATTGATGCTTCAAATACATCTTCAGGTCCTGTCAATTTCAAATGCACCAGACATTACTAACAGTTTTTCTCAAACAATCGTTTTTTTAGGCATTGAATATTTAATGTTTCTGACATAATTTCCAGTGCAACCAAATGAGAGAAACAGAACAGTTGAGGACATTCCTCCACCACTACGCTCTTTATGATACAATTTATGATATAACTCATTTATTCTTTTTTCAGATTCACATTTTATTTCTCCCTAAGCATTTATATACACACACTCACGAGAAATGATGTATCAGGCTGCAAAAATAGTTGTAAACTCCAACATGATTTAGGATATGACCGTGAACTTTTCTGATTTAGGTCTTAACCATCAACTTATAATTACAAAACAGAGAGGATAAAATCATTCCTATTAATGTAGGATTCGAGATTCAATGAACATCATTGCTCTCTAATTTGCATCAAAATTGATCATATGATGATCAAGGAAGGATACCGCCTCCCCACCTTTTGTAGGGCCGATCGTCTTAGCTGATTCAGCAGTGTCTTCCACGTAATTGGCCCTATGATCATTACAAAGTCGAGTGTACAAATTATACAATTCCATGTTATGACAGCCACGGTTACGTACCCCTCCATAGGAGGTGATCAAAAACCTCGTATCTTGGTAGCCTCGCTTCACCCTTTTTTTCACTGGACAACCCACTATCGAACATTTGAAGTAGTTCCTATACAGAGTAGATAAAGGCACGGAAAAAGTAATAATTAAATCAACAAAACTGTTTAGCAACTTCAGAACTTCCTTAACAATATTAGGTGAAGTAATCACCTTGGATGGGGACTTTCGATAAATTTCTTTCCATATTTTCTCCATCCATAACAATCATCAAATACCTCACTGTTGGTTCTGGTTCGATCTTCAACTCTACGCCCTCTCGTGGTTTCGCTCACAGAACCTATGACACCCTTGTTTTCATTCTCAGTACAGTTGCTGCAAAATGTTAAACCACTCCATTAAAATTTTCCTTCATAAAACCTTACCCATAACCTTAATTGTATTTAACCAACACTTGCATAATTGACTTCCATAAGTTCAATTTCATCCTAGGTGTGAGGACTGAAAGACATTTAAAGGCGTTTTACATTGGAGGAACGTGGACTGCAAACAGAGCAAAGTAACCCTTCCGGTTTAAGGAAGTGAAGGGCACTACTATTGGATAAAAATGCTTAAAAGGTAATAGGTATAAGTAACACTAGAGAACAGCAATGTCTACTTCACAGAGTACATCAATACAAAAGCTTAACTGACCTTCTTTTGGCCTTAGGTTCATCTTCATCAACGTCTATTTCACAAATTTCTCAAGCCTGATCAAAGTAACCATCTTCTAGCCTCTTGTTCTTCTCTGATGAAAAAAGCTCAATGCTTGTTTTGGTGCCTGCAATTAGAACAATTAAGTGTAATGATAATGGAAAATCAAGGCTGACAAATAAGATTTAACTCAAATTAATAAAATCAAATTACATACACTTCAAATTACGGTTGTTCAAGGTTAAGGTATCCTTGAGGATAACTATAAATTATAATCATGCTCGTCACTATAAGGATTGTCTATAAAATCAGAGAATTCTGCTATAATTTATTTTTTAGAGTTGTAATTAGATATAACTACCTGTGCGTAATTAAAACTATGGATAAAAAATTGTATCAATCCAGAAACGCCAATTGCCATCATAGCAAACAAAACATCACTATTAACATCCCCATTCTGTTTCCTCTATTTTTGTTAAATTTAGTCCTCTGCTTCAATTGCAAGTATCCTTTACTTGCATAAAATGTTGATTACAGTTAAATCCTTAACACTATTAAGGAAAGGCCTGAACTTGTTGATTTGGTCAATTTGACCTTGACATGCCATGCTATCTTGAAAATTTTTTTGCCCCACAACACACAAAAAAGAATTTAAGTTCCAGATTCATGAAGCAATTGAATTAAGTCTCCGATTCAAAAAATTTTAGTAGCATAAAATATATGTAAAATTTTAAAAAATGCAATAAAAAAAAGAAAGACAGAGGAAGGAAAGAGAGAAATTGAGAAGGGGAAGGGAATGCGGCACCAATCCGCCTTATTTCGGCCAGATTGGCCTCAATATGAGGGATCAAATCTAGACTTTGGACCAAAATGTAACAAAATTCTGGCCGCTTGGCTATGATACTTGTGTGGGTATGTATATCCAAGATTTACACAGTTTTTCCGTTTAAAAGAAAAAGGTAATCTAGATAAAATAAAATAAAATAATAAAGTCATTAGGACCCAAGTATTGAAAAATTTTACAATGAAACAAGCAAAAACAATCAAAATAGTTCAATTGCTAAATTAAGTTGAATATTTTGAATAAGTTGTACACAAACAATAGGGTTTCACTTCTTAACTGGCCAAACAAATTGTCAAGTTAAGGCTTCTAATTTCGTGGTTTAAGGAGATCCAGCATTTCCAGTCAGAATAACGGACCGTTAAGACAGTAAAACTAAAAACCCAAATTAAACAAAAGATTGTAAGATAAAACAATGTATGTTGTGTTGATTGCTTTGTATATTGATAGATACTTACATCAAACGTCCTCAAAGGATTGCATGGAAGTATGCATGACGAAGGAGTCTTTGTCAAGTCTGTTCCACTCCATGAATTGGATGGAAGTATGCATGCCGAAGGAGAGTTTGTCACGTCTGTCCCAGTCAATGGATTGGATGGAAGTATGCATGACGAAGGAGACTTTGTCACGTCTGTCCCCGTTATTCTCTCCTTATAATCTAACAGTAATGAACCGTAATTACCTAAAAGAGTTAAAGGACATAAAAAATAAGAAGAGTCGTCTCATAAGGGTTGCAAAGAAGAATTACCTGAGCACTGGCCTTTTTGATCTTGTGTTGAAACTTCGAGCAACTTTTCATCATCTACCAATATTCAAAATAAGCAATGTTAAAATCTTCGCTTCTCATCAGATGTTAGCAAACTTTTCTTTTACGTTATGACTTGGCTTTGGTCTCTTCCAATTAGTATTTTTAGGACGATAATAAAATTTTACTTGTTATCATGAAAACAAAAAAGTTCAGGACTCATGTTATCCAGAAAATAAAAAGTTCATGTACTAATTTAATTGATCTCACAAATAAGCTAATAAATTAGATGATTAATAAAAAAAATAAAACTAAGTTCAAAAGATACATTACCTTGTTGTTGGCCTTCATTTTCTATGGTAGCTTCAAGTAGATCCCTGTCTTCTATCAATTGGGTCATAACATCTTTCTCATTACTGATAGGGGAAAAGATACGCATCAGATAATCTGGCCGATTTCCCCACTCTGTTTCATTCCAATTCAAATCTTCCCACCACTGACATTCTCCTTTGATTATCTTCAAAGTTTTGCTTGACAATTCCATTTTTGATAAGCTTTTAAGCTTCGGGCAATTATAAAAGCCTATGCTTTCTAATTTTGGTGCTATTAATAGACCATTAGAAATGCTGACCAGTCCTGGAAGGTAAAGAAGCAGCAATCTTTTCAAACTGGGGAGAAATTTATTTGACATCATTGGCTTGACAGACGCACGGCTTACCAGACTGGTGACTTGGGGGCAGTCCTCAACAATAATCTCCTCCAAGTTGACAAAATTTTCAATCAAAGTACGAGAGAAAATATGTCTCAGCTGCGGGCATGTATGCAGCGCAAGGAATTTCAACCTAGACATACATCCACAACAATTTGGTCCTCTCCAAATACTCCATAAATTCTTCATGTAATAAATGCTCAAATATTCTAGAGATTCAAGCACGTGTTCTGCAGAACCAGTGTCAGATTCAGATTGATCATCTTCATTTCTTTCGTCATGCATTTCTCCATCAATAAGGGTTTCCATGTTATTATACTCTGCCAACAAGCAAAATTTTAGCCTTTTCATATTCTCGATCCCAAATTCAGATAGATTCATAGCGGTTGCATGGTTGTCCAAGAGAAACGAAGACGAATATTTGAGTACTGCTTCTATTTCGATTGGGATGTTTCCACCATTCACAAACTTCAAGCATTTATCCCAATTTCTGAATTCTGCTTCAACTTCATGAGGTACACGAGATATGATTCTCCTTTTATGATGGCCAACCGTAAAACTAAAGTGTGACAATGAAGGATATATCAATGATAAATAATCTAAAAGTTGGAATTTAGGCAGGTTCAAGCTAAGAGTCTTCAATGTTTTTGAGTTGCATACTTCCTTCACAACAGCTTCCACCGAATCATCCCACCTCTTATCTGCAGGATTCACATCAATGCTTAATTCAGCAAGTTGCGAGAGAATTGATATTATCTCAGGGTGAATCACAAAGTTTGATTTCGACTTCTTTTTGCCACAGATATGATAAAATGATACTCTCAAATGACTGACTAGCTTTCCAATCTCACTTGGCAGATGCATGATCTGAGTTTCATCAAGATCAAGCTCCTCAAGATTTTTAAGTTTCCCAACCTGAGGTGATAGTTCCATGAAGAGTTCACAACCTCGTAGCAAAAGCTTTTTTAATGAAACCAACTTGGGAAGAGATTTTGGCAAAGATTTTATGCAAGTATGGGACAAATCTAATACTTGGAGAAGGGCCATGCGCTGAAAGAATAGGGCAGGAATAGCTGTCAGCTCATAATTCCCTTGCAAATACAATGCAATCAATGAAGAGCAGTTTGGAGATTTTGGTAGCTCAGACACTTTATGTTTATCATCCGTTAAATGGATCTCTTTGGCAGCCCATTCTTCTTCCTTTCGCAGCTTAGGCAATCCTGACCCACTTGCCTTAGGAACAGACTGCTGCATTTTGACTGAAGTATTATGTATGCTCTCAGTCAATTCCAAAGGATCTTGCCTAACAAAATACTCTGTTCATAAAGCATCAATTACAATTTGAAGAGTAGAATGTAATCTCCTTCATCATGTATATAGACCAAATAAACTTTGAGCAATTGAGAAATAAAAGTTAAATTTAATTACCACTACTCCTATAAAAAGATATATAATCTCCATGTATTTTTTTTTTCTGTGATATTCATAGAAAAATATTTTTGCAGTTTAATATTTCAAACAAATAAATTGACCTCAGAGCAATAAAAAGGTATGGTATATTTTTCTTTCTTCCACACCTATCACCATCATTTCTCATCAGAATTACAACAAGCTAAGCATAAACATGTGCATTTGCACTATAAACCAGAAATTGGAATAAACTCCAAAACTACTATGGGTATTACTTGAGAAACATTTCCTTTTACCAGCAAACAAATAAAAATCGACAATCAACAAATCACAGGTTGAGAAGGCTCTAATTATTATTATTTACCCATTTAAATACCCATCGAAATATTAAATTAATAGTGTTATTCCAAATTTATTAAGTTTAGAATTTAAAAAGTTATTTTGAAATTCAAATCTTTAAAATTATAATATTCAAGTTCTATCAGTTTGTAAATATATAGTAATGTATAAAATAAATTACATCATCAGTCATTTAATTAGGCTTGTTAAACTTTCTGTTTTGACCAATAATAATATTATTATATTAGATATATAATTTTTTGGGTGCATATACTGCATGGGCCTTATCCGTGCAACATCATGAAATATTCTTTTAAACAATCTATCTAAGGTAGAGGAGGATAAAATAACTTACCAACATTAAATTCACCATCGTGAGCATAATTTGTTAAAAAAATCTTCATAAAAATTGTTGTCTTTATAAATGTAAACAAGAGAAAAATTCCAACCCTTGAAAAATATACGTCGATAAGCATGAATAACGTAATAGAGAAGATCATTGTCATGCAGTAGTTGTGGAATTAGATATAAAATATATTATCATCTTCTCTAACAGGGCACCTGTCTTGCGAGCATTTTTTCCCACTTAAAGCATGGACATAAATGAATAGATTTAATAATGATATAAAAATAAAATATAAAAATAATATGAAAAAAGATAAGAAAATGATACAGTTTAAAATTTTAATAAAAATTAAAATTATATATGGATTTAGCAAAATCTAAAAAAAATGTTGATATTTAACATGTTGATACTAATTTAACATATAATTTTCATATTTTAACACATATTTAATACGAAATAAATATGATACAAATAAATAAATTATTATATTTATTTGAATATTTAAAATTTTATCAAATACATTGATAGTAGTGCTTTTTAATTTCACCTATAAAATTAAGATAATAACACATGTTCCTTAATATATATTTTAAAAAATAAAAAAAATTAATTAAAAAAAAAAGACATATGTCATAATTTAAATCTCGCTCGTAGAATTAAAACTTCTTAATCTATCTAATAATTTTTTAAAATAATTATGATGATTAAAAATTGAATGCATAACATACATATATGCATGCATCTTTCTTTTTTTTTTTTATGTCTTGTACTTTTTTTTTGTTTGTAAATTTGAACTGTTTTATCTTCAACAAGGATAAAGATGAATAGATTATAAAGCCTAACACATAAATCAGAAGGAGAGCTTATCAAGCATTTAAATGCTCACATTTAAAGTTATAAACCGATGGATAAGCAAAGAGATGAAGAAATTAAAGAAGAATTAGTAAACTCACCTGCAAGAATAGAAGCCCATAAATCGATTAAATGCTCGCATATAAAGCAATTGGGTCTTGGTTGTTGTCGAAGAGATAAGTAGAAGTTGCGAGCGGAGTTGAAGTCGAGATTGCTAGCTGAATGTTTTTGAACTTCATGGAAGAGAATCCAATTCCTATCCTCAAACTCTGAAACTGGGGTATATAAAAATATAGCCCAAGAATTGAAGGGTTCTTTTAGTCGTAACAGTAATTAATTTGACTTTTAACAAGTTGGGGGTCCCTTAGGTTAGTTTAGGTTAGGAGGGGTTTTAAATGCACTTCAAGTTTCTTTTTTTTTTTTCAAAACTTTTTACAAATAAAATTATTTAAATGTCTTTTTCAAAAGTTTTCAAAAATTTATCATCGAAAAGTTAAACTTTTATAAAAAAATTAAAAAAAAAGAAATTTTATTAGAATTTTTTATGAATTAATGTAATGAAAAAATTATTTTAAAAATTATAAATTTTAAAATTAATAAAAAATTATTTTTATTATTTTGATTTTTTAAAAAATAAAAGTTTATAAGATTTTAATTAAATTAAATATAAAATAGTAAATATTTTTTTTATAAATTTAAAATTTATTATTTTTTAATAAATATTTTTTATTGGTTATTAAAATTTTATAATAATTTTAACTAAATTGAATTCATCAAAAAAATCTCTCCATCCACTTATAGCGATAGATTTTTTTAATTAATATATTAAATTTTGATAAAATTATATAGTATTTAGTAAAATTATTTGTACAATTTTAAAAAATTTTAACTTTTATATATTGATTAAATTTGATAATTTTTTTATTATCTTTCGTAACATCAAGAGATAAAACATTTAATAAGAATCTCATAATATTTTATTTTTCTTTAAAATCAAAATAATAAAAATATTTTTTATTAATTTTAAAATATATAATTTTTTAATAATAACTTTTTTTATTATACTAACTCATAAAAATTTTAATAATTTTTTTATAATTTTTCATAAAATTTGACTCTAAAATTTTAAAAAATGTATTTTCGAAAAATATTATATTTAAAAATAATTAAATAATTTTACTTAAAAAAATAAAAAAAAGGATACTGAGAAAAAAAAAAAAAAGGAAATGTGAATAGAACCACTTTAGATTTGGAGTTTTTTTTTTTCTTAAAAACAAAAAGAAAAAAAACCATCGTTTCCTTTCTATTTCCTTTTAGTAAGATGATCAAGAAATTTCTTTTAAGGATCCACCATGTACTCAGGAAACTGATTGTGATTTTGATATCTCCGGACCAACGAATCGACAAGCAGACAACTTCAAAGTCCAACCTTCATTGTGTGTTTTGCTCGTACAGAATTATAACAACCAAAATAATATACTTATTAAATATCCAATTCACAATTAATTCAGAGTAAATGAAAAAATTTAATATGAATATAAGATTATAAGATATTAAAAATTTATTAAATATAAAATAATTTGTTTTAATAGATACTTATCACGTGTAAAAAAAAAAAATCATATGAAATAAAAATAAAAAAAAAATTAATTTTAATATTATATTAAGCATCAAATTTAAAATTAATTAATAATAATAAATTTAATTAAAATATAAATTATAAAATATTAAAAATTTATTATACGTGATAATCCACTTTAATACTAATATATACTTGTCGTAAAAAATTGTGTTGCCGGTATGATTTAAATGAAATATCAGAAACTACCAAGCACTACCCACGCACTATCCCACTATCCGTGCCAACCTCCAAGTCAACGCTGGCAGTCTGGACCAATTATAGTACCTTCTCATCCCTCACAACAGCGACTTGATCGCTGAGCAGAACTTACAACAGTTCCCACGATGATTTTCAGGTGATTTTACTTCACTCATCTCTTTCTCTATGCAAGTCTGTGAAACCAGCCTTCTTTCTTCTTTAGTTTTTTTTCTTTGTGTCACTGTTATTCTGATTCAGTCTTAACAAAGTTTTTGAACAAGAACAAAAATTCAACAAGTTAGTGTTATCTTGTCTCTCTAGGCTGCTTCATTGTAAGATATTTACAGCTGGAAAAGGCTTCAAATTTGTAACCCTTGTAATCGTTGGCTTCATATTTTGCAGCTTTCAAGGCAGAAGAAGAAGAGAGTATGGCAAGCAAGTATATATAGTTTCCTTCCAGCCCCAGGTAGGTAGCTGCATCCTTAGTCTATCTTAACTCTGTTCTAGGTTGCGTCTGTTTTCTGTGGATATGCTGCTTGCAATTTTAAAAGTTACTGCAATAATTAAGCCATGAGGTGATGCTTTTTGTTTGGTCCTATAGGTTAATCTAATTATTTTATTAGCAAATTTTACAGGGAATATATTGAACATAGTAGTTTCATATCAATAATTTTATGTTTTTAAGTCCTAATTCAGTAGATAAAAATGAGAAATTAAAAGGAAATAAAACTAACAGCAAAACTATAGAAGGAAGTAAAAAGGTGCATGAATCAGTTTCCATCCCTGAATTATATATATTTGGAGTAATGCGTACATAGGCTGAAAACCTGGTTGGAGGTAGGGAGTTAAAGGAATAGCAAATATCAATATAGGTGAGCAGGACCAAATAAAACTTCTTATGAAAGTAACACTTGTCCATCTTGATCTAACTTTATTACCATGTGAATTCCTTGTTGCTCTTACAGGATCAAGTTAATTTCCTCATGGCCGATAACATAATATCTTCTTGTCTCGTGGGAGCTATCAGCCAAGCTGGGGCAGATTTAACTGATTATGCTAAAAGCAAAGTCAGTTTATCACAGACTATGGAGAACAACTACGAAATGTTGAGAAATGAAGTAGCAAGGCTGCAGGCTCTTAGGGATGATTATGAAAGGGAAGTCAAGAAACATAAAATGAAGACAACTACTTGCTGTTATGATGTATGGCTACGGAGTGTTAACAAGATTCTTCACAATGCAAAAGAATTAGAGTTCGAATTGAAGAAGATCATAGAAGGCTATCATCCAGATACATACATGTGAAGCAACGATCAAATTATAGTGCAAAACTGGTGAAAATGCGTGAAGAAATTCAAAAGCTTGTGGAAAAGGGGGAATTTACAGGAGGTTTTTTGGTTGATAAACCTATAGAACCCTTCTTGAAGGTGAATGCGCCGGAGATCAAAGGATTTCCTAGCCTTCAGAGGCCATTGGAGCAAGTATTAATGGAGCTGTTGAGAAATGACAAATTGAAAGGAATTGGGATTTGGGGCACGTTGGGGTTGGGAAAACAACAAGAATGCAGAACTTAAATAACCATGATGAAGTAGCTAAAATGTTTGATATAGTCATTTGGGCAAATTTCTCTAGTGAGAGGAGTGAGGAAAAATTGCAAGAGGATATTCCCTTTAAACTTTTTTTTCTTTGATAAAATTCAAAATTTTTGTTTTAATTTGATAATGCCACATGTCCATGTCCTTTGACATGTGAAATTATATGAATGTTTTTTGGTAAAATATATTAGATGTGAAAAGTCATTCAATTAGTTGTTTTAGTTTTTAATAATTGAATAAAATTAAAATTTTATAAATATTGATGATTAAATTATAATTTTTTTATAATTGAATGATGAAAATAAAATATACAAAAAATTAAGTAATTTTTTTCTGTCACGTTGGTTAAAACCATAACTTCGTTTCAGTTAGATGGTTAGGAAATTTGTTCTCTAGGATCCTCCATGTATCCAGGAAAGTGAGTGTGATTCTGATATCTCCAAGAAGGGACCAACGACAAGCAGACAACTCCAAATTCCAACCTTAATTATGTGTTTAATATGCTCGTACAGAATTATGAGCACCAAAATAATATACATACATGAATACATGAATACATTTATACATGCATGTATACTTGTCATGAAACATCTTATTAGCCAACGTTCGAAAAATGAAATATCAGAAACTACCAAGCAATACCCACACACCATTTCACCATCCGTGTCAACCACCAAGTGATTGCATGACAATATGACCCTGATGCTGATTTCTGTATGTAATTCAAAAAATAATCGAAATGATAACTTCAATGGCATGCGCTAAAAAGTGAAATTTTGGTTTAAATAACCGTTTATAATTTTTTTTATTTATAAAAAATGGGATTCTTTCTCATTTTTCATAACAAAAATTACTCCTTAATCATTTCTTCTCCTTCCCATGCTTTCTTAAAAGAGATTTTAGTATGGTTGCAGCTCTAATTTCCCATTGTAAAGCCATAGTAGGATTAACTTTAATCACGCCTTTGTTTCTTTATATATTATTCGTTTATAAGCTGGAATTTAAGAAGAGAATTTTTAATGGAAGGAATACATATGAATGGGAAGAAAGAAGAAGAAAAAATAAACAAGAAAAAAACATTTATTAACTGTTTAGCTTTGTCAAGACCTATTTCCTCACGTCTTGCTCGTAACAATGCCGAGTCAATCTTTCATTCTCATAGGTCAAGGAACCCAATCAATTACGCCACTTCCGAAAAATACCCTGCATCCAGGCGGAGTGGGGTAGCCCAGTAATAACAATAATAATTGAAAACCCCTTCAATTTTTAAGTTTTATTTAATGTATTTTTTAAATTGATATAAATAAATTTATTTAAATCATGTTTAATGAATCTATAAAATATTATTTTTTTATAATTTTTCAATAAATTCGAACTCAAAACAATAAGACAAAAACACTTGCTAATTCAACCAACATCCGTCCTTAAGGGGATTTCAATTGCTATTATTATTTGGTCATTTCCTTCCTTCACGGATAATTTCGGACAAATATTAACGCCTTATGGAATTAAGTGGATTTGAATTTGTGTCCAATCGTAATTGTGTGATGATGATGTTAACACATTTAACACGCACAAATATTGGAATTTTACGTGAATTATCTAATCTAACATATACATCACACAATTAATTTTGCTCAAACATCAATTCAATTTCACATTACAATTTCTATATCCACCGTTTAAATTAACTCAACATTCAACAGTTCACCATCACTTCCACTGTTTCCACATGCATGACGTCCATTATCGTTGATTTTTAGTTGGAAGAGCATTAAAGAATTTGTGAACTTCTCAATTACAAGTGGTCAAATCAAAATAAAAAGTCAAGATCAAAACCCATGTATAGATTAATTATAAGATCCAATTAATAAATCACGTATGTTAAAATTCAAAAGATTTCTTAACAAATTTCAATATTTTTATTTAAATTAATGATGTAGCTATATTTTTATTGTTAATCAATTATTGATTAATTTTTTATTAATTTTATGTGTAATTAATTCTTACATATGATTGATTTACTTAATAAGTTTTTCTCATCTATCAATTTTGATTTGTTTGGAGATTGACAAAATCAACGTAAAGATTTTCGTTTTTATTAGTTGACAAAGTTATTTTAAGTTGAATTCAAAGACACTGTTATTAAAAAAAAAAATCTAAATATAAAATAATTTGAATTCAAAATAATTTCATCCAAACTTTTTCATGTCTAATTTTAACTTTTAATTTTAATTTTTATTTATCACAATCTTCACTCAAAGAAATTAGTCTTACTGGTATGAGGAAAACTAAAAATTAAGTATAAAAAATTATATCAATCGAGTAACGCCAATTGCTATCATAGTAAACAAAACATCACGGTTGACATCCCATTTTTTATTCCTCGATTTTTGCTAAATTTAGTCTCTCTACTTTCAATTACAAGTATTCATTAATTTCATAAAATGTTAATTACAGTTAAATCCTTAAAATTGTTAAGAAATGGCCTTAACTTGTCGGTGTGGTCAATTTGACCAGACATGCCATGCCATACAAAAAATTATTAAAATATTAGAAATAGTCACAAAAGAATTATGATTTATAATTTTAATAAAAATAAAAAAATATTGCATTTAGCCTGTTAATGAAATTTTGAAATGATAATTTTGGTGTTTTAAAAATACAAATACACAAATTATAAAAACAATGTAAATACATGAATTGTGAGATCTAACATTCTAATTTTTTTTCCTCAAAATTATCATTAAAAAAAAAACATGTTTAGTCTTCTTTCATAAAATTTTACTTAATTTAAATTTTATTCATAGGTGTATGTTTAGTTACATATATCATTTCTTCTGGTCGATGGTAAAACATCCACCGGTAGTCAAAAGGATTTGTCCAAGCGTTCTTGTAGTGGCAATTCTAGCTTTTTCTTAATTCCTTTAGGCCAGAGAAAAGGGGTTTTTTCTTTCAACACAACGTACACGGGGATCAATGTCATTTTCCTTTCTTTTCCAATTCATGAAGATAGTAAAGCATTCTTCTCATTTCTATGAATTTTCCAAACAAAATTACTAGTAGTTATTCAAACTCTCGTTCTCTTTCTAGGTGCTTTCTTAAGAAATTTGATAGCATGAATTATATTGTTTTGTTTAGTTTAGTCAAGCTTTAGTTGACGCCATTCCTGAAGCTAATTTACTCTTCCCTAGAAAGCCATTGGCCTCCTCCGAGCAATGACCATGAATGGGAATACCTGTAGCTACTTTCTGATCATACTTCGGATTCTACTGATCATTCCATCATCACTTTTGATCAACGCTGAAATCATAAACTACCCATCATATGTCAATGCCCCGAATTCCTGGAGAAACAACCTCTCATATGACTTCAATTTCTGGGAGGTAGCCGGTGTGAAGCCGATCCTTGTCAATGGGATGTTTGTCTGTGGCTTTCACTGCAGCTTGGTGGGTGAGAGTTGCCTATTTGCTGTTTCCATCTTCAACAACAGTTTTGGTGATAATAACTCCAGCTTTTCTCCGAAAGTGGTGTGGTCCGCTAATCGAAACAATCCAGTTAAGTATCAGGCACTATTGCAGCTCACTCCAGAAGGTGGTCTTATCTTGAAAGATGGAGATGGTGATGTGGTTTGGTCCCCAAACACATTAGGTAATTCTGTTTCAAGGTTAAAATTAAGTGCAGACGGAAACCTCATGCTGTTTGACAAAACCAACAAGATAGTTTGGCAGTCATTTGACTACCCAACAGACTCTTTAGTTCTTGGTCAAACGCTAGTGTCTGGGCAGAAGTTGAGGGCAAGTGTATCGCCATTCAATTCAAGTGAAGGTTTATATGCATTTGCAATCATTGATGGTCTATTGACTGCTTACATGGATGTATATCCTTCCCAAATCTATTACAGAACACTTTTCTTGGAAGAAAACATTTCAAGGCATTCTTATGTTAAATACAACCGGTCTTCTATGGTTAGGAGTCTCCACCTGCCAGACTCGGCTAATTTTATACAGTTGGGAAGTGACGGCCACTTGAGGGCATATGAGTGGAGAGAATCGACATGGGTGGTGGTTGATCTATTCGGAATTAATCGATGTAGTTATCCATTGGCATGTGGAAAATATGGCGTTTGTTTAGAAGTGGGATGCGATTGCCCTGAAGCTGCAACTCAAAGCCAAATAACTTATTTCAAGCCAATAAATTATAATAGACGGGATCTTGGGTGTTCTGCAACTTTACCAATTTCTTGTGAGCTTTCTGTTCATCAGAGTCTTCTCGAACTCCAGGGCATCTATGAGAATGATTCATTTCTTTTCACCAGTAATGATAACAACAAGAGTATAGAAGATTGTAAGGAAGTTTGTTTAAAGAACTGTTCTTGCAAAGCTGTGATACAGATAGATGGTTACTGCCATTTTCTATCTGAAGTATTGTCCCTCAAGACGTATAAATCTAGTTTTTATGATTCTTACAACACCTCTGTTTTTATAAAGGTGCAGAATTTTCCAAGTGCAGAGAATCCTAAAAAGAATCCTTTATCACAGAAGTTCTCTCAAAGGAAAAGGCAGGATATGGCAGTTATTCTGGGTTCAACTCTTGGAGGTATCTCTGGTGTGTTGCTTATATGCACTTTCTGTTTTCTACGAATTAAGAAAGGGCTCAAAGAGGTTGAGGAGGATTATCTGGACGACATATCGGGAATGCCAACTAGATTTTCTTTTGAAGAGTTGAAGAGTGTCACGAAGAATTTTAGCAACAAGCTCGGTGAAGGAGGATTTGGGTCTGTTTTTCAAGGAACATTACCTTCGGGTTCTGAAGTTGCAGTGAAGTATCTTGATGGCTGTGGTCCCGTCAAGAAATCTTTCATAGCAGAAGTTCAGACTATAGGAAACATTCACCATTTCAATTTGGTAAGTTTGGTTGGATTTTGTGCTGAAAAATTTACCAGGCTTTTAGTCTACGAGTACATGTGTAAAGGGTCACTGGATCAATGGATCTTCCACAAAAATCAAGAGCTTGCTCTTGGTTGGGAAACTAGAAAGAAAATCATTTTAGATATAGCCAAGGGACTAGCTTATCTTCATGAAGACTGCAACCAAAAGATAATCCACTTAGACATCAAACCACAAAACATCCTTTTAGATGAGAATTTCAATGCCAAAGTTTCCGATTTTGGATTATCTAAGCTAATTGGAAGAGACCAAAGCCAAGTCATAACAACCATGAGGGGAACCCCTGGCTATATGGCTCCTGAATGGTTAAGCTCTGTCATCACTGAGAAAGCAGATGTTTATAGCTTTGGTATTGTGGTCCTAGAGATTCTGTGTGGGCGAAAAAATGTGGATGGATCTCTACAGGAGGAAGATAGGCATTTACTGAGGCTTTTTAGGAGAAAGCAAGAAGAAGGGCAACTTGTGGATCTAATCGATAAGTGCAGCGAAGATATGCAGGCAAATGCAGCCGAAGTCATGGAGATGATGAAGGTTGCTACATGGTGTTTACAAAATGAACATGTCAGGAGGCCTTCCATGTCCACAGTGGTGAAGATTTTTGAGGGTTCAGTTGATTTTGTTGGTACCTTGAACGAAAATTTTCTAAATGAATTGACAGTACCTGAAGCTGTGGAGTCTGTTGCTTCAACAACTTTACCCTCTATCTTATCAGGGCCAAGGTGAAGATCATGGAGATCTTCGATATAATTCATGAAGATGGGGATGTAAGCCAAGGTATGTTCCCAAGATCCTATCCTATCCTATTTGTTGTTGAAGTGTAGAATTATTCCTCTATCGAAGCTTGTTTTGTTTCATGCATTATATTCATCCCAAATTTTGGGTCCCAAGCAGAGTTGTTTAGTTCGTATGATCGTATCAAGAAGAAAGTTCAAGTTTCAAGTTTGTTTTATGAAGAGTTCAAATTTCAAGTTTTAAAATGACCTATTAAATGTATTGAGTATTAGTTTAGATAACAAAAGGATTGAACAAATTTTTGGAGATTGCAGATTTGAGAGAATTTAAACACGTCATTATGTTGACAAACTGCGAAATGAAGCTACTGCAGTCTTTATGTCGACGGAAAACTCTCTTGTTTCTTTCGTTTCACACACCATAGATAAACGCATTCCAGGCTATTTTAAAGATAACAGGCAGGAGGGATTTAGCTTTGAAATTAATTTTGATCCAATTGAATTTATTTTGCCACTCATGCACTGACCTTTGAATCCCACAGAACTTAAGTACTTGCAGCCCAATTGGTCTAGGGAACATACATGTAAAGAATAGATGATCCCTAGATCCAACTTCCGTTTATAATGCAAGCCGCAGTTGGGGTATGAAAGAATACCCCATTTGCATAATTCTGTTTTCTTTAAAAGAAAAAAGAAAAGAAAATATCTTCACAAAAATAATTAGTAGGAAGAACAAAAGTGAATTTATGATATTCTTATTTAGAAGTGGTCAAATGAAAATAGAAAATTAAAATAAAATTCCATATATAGATTAATTATAAGATTCAATTAATAAATCATATATGTTAAAATTCAAAAGATTTCTTAACAAATTTCAATATTTTATTTAAATTAGTAATGTAGCTATGAGTTATAGTAATTTTATATATTGACTGCAACATGATTCAATTTTTATTAAAAATTAAAATGAAAATGATATTGCTAGTTGTGAAAAATAAGGCCTTGGCTTCGCCCCAGGGTTGGATGCTATTCAATCATTTATGATTGTTAATATCCAGCGTAGACTGCTGAGACAATAGTAAAAATTTGTTGGAAAATTACATTCCTCAAATTTTTTTTTTTTAACAATCTTTTGATAAATTTGAATTCAATAAAAAGAAAAAGCTCTATTATATATATATACTAGAAAAATACCTGTGCTTTGCTGAGGGTACATGTTTTTCATTTTGAGATATTTAATTTAAAAATAATAAAATATTTAAAATTATAATATAATAATTAAAAACATTAATGAATAAAATAAAATAAAATAGAGTATTATAAAGTTTAAATCAACTACGAAAATATATTAGCTTGGAGTAGAGACATGTAAATTGTTGTGCATGAAATAATTTCGTAAATGAAATTATTTTTTATCAAGAATGACTGAATTAACTCCTATTTACGAAAATTAATAGAGACAAGAAAATAATACCTTTAATTGAGAGCAACTTAAGCTTAAAGTAATCACCAATATCTAAAACCATAACTCTAAAAATTTGTTCCACGACTTTCTTGGCATTTTTTTCTTTGCTCTTCGTAATCCATTTTAGATATTTTCCAAACTCACAATAATCCAATACGATGCCCTACCTTAAAAATGTTATTCAAAAAGCATGACAAAAGTAAGGAAAAAAGAACAAACTAAAACTAAATCGGAGCAAAGTCATTGAAACATAGCAAAAGGTACAATAAACTTCACATTAAGCATAAAGAAAAATAAAAAATAAAATCCAACAACAAAATCTACATGCATACAAAGAATGACAAACTAAATCCTCTTGATGCCTTGAAATCTCAATTACACCTCCAATAAACAAAATGAAATAAGTCTCCAGCTAACTTTGTTGTGGTCGAGAATCCATTTGATTCATTATTAAATGTATAATGTCACAATTATTTTAATATCTAATGAAGATTGCAAGCATACTTAATTATAACTGAAAAAGCATAAGTAAGATGATAAAAAAGTTAATATAATATCAAATCTATTTGATTTGACCATTGATTAAAAAAAATGCATCTGTATTACATTGATTAAAAGTCTTTAAGACATAAAAATAAAGTAGGAAGTTAGGACACAGAATTGAACTGGCAGAAAATATTGAGAATATTAACTTAAATCCTATAAGAGATTTGTTTGGGATTTGTTAGAGATTTGTTTGTGATTTTTCAGATATTGCTTGATGGACAAGAAGATTTGCAAAAAAAGAATTCTAAGAGAAAGAGGATTCTTAATAGATAAGTTTGACTTGCAAGAGAAGAATTTTAAAAAGAAAGAGATTTTTAATAGACAAGTTTAACTTACAAGAAAAGAGTTCTAAGATGAGAAAGATTCTTAATGAGCAAGTTTGTATGGTTATAAATAAGTGAAGTCTCTACTGGGTTAGGTATGAGAAAAATATATAAGAGAGTTGTAGGGTTTTGTGGGATAGACATCCTATAGGAGTATTGGGGCTCTACGTCTTATGGGTGTGTATGTTTGTTTGTAAGTGGACTAGAGGAGATTAAGAGGGTCCACATAGATATGATGTATGGGGGCATATGGGGTATGTGTTTGGTTATGTTGAAATGGTGCACAAGGGTTTGGGTCTGTGTTTGTTTGGATTGAGAATACTCCATAGGACTAGAGGAGATTGAGAGTGTCTTATGAGTATTAATTGTTAAGTGAAGTTGATGATTTGATGTATGTTTTTAATTCTCTACAACTAGTGAATCGTGTTTCTCGTCCGTGGATGTAGGTTAATTAGACCGAACCACGTCAAATTGTTGTCTCTTGTGTGTTTGATTTATTGTTTGATTTCGCTTCTACTGGTGTGATTGGATTGGAGGCTTTTAGCCCAACAGAAAACAAATTAAAAGGAAAAGTTTTGATATCAATTCTATTGAGAATTGCTTGGAATGCATGTATATATTTCATATAAGGGAAAAGGAATAAGAGAATATTCAAGCAAAGGGAGATGACGACTGCATAAATGGTGGACAAAGTCAAGGAATTTGTAAAATACAGGCTGCATGGATAAAACATATTGTAAGAGATATGATAAGCAAAAAACTTAGTGAACATTGGAATCTGAATGTAGAATTTTTAAAATAAGCTGTTAGCGAAATTGTTTTTCCTCTATTTGTTGAGTTGTAGAATAGTTATATTGTAGCAGATTTTTGCTGACTTTAGATGAATAAAAATTCAGTTTATCCAAAAAAAATAATAAAGTCATAATATCCAAAGCAAAAAAAAACATAAGAAATGGTGGACGTCTATTGTTGTTTTGAAAGAGGGACATATGCTGGAAGGAATTCATGCATCCATATTTTTAGGTTGCTTTTTTTTTTTTTTTAATAAAAATGCATGATCTAAATGTTTGGTTAACGATTTAATTGATATATCATTTGCATATCATTAATGTTAGAAAATGCAATGCAAAACAATATAATATTTAATCACATAAAATTTGATACATACAACTTAAATAAAAATTCTACCAAATTCAAATAAACCAATCGGTAATAATAATAATAATAACAATAACAATAATAATAATAATAATAATAATAATAATAATTATTATTATTATTATTATTATTATTATTATTATACGAAAAAATTATACATTAGATCATTATTTCTTAAAAGAATCTATGATGAATAATGAAATAAACATTTTCCCATGAACTTTGAAACTTTTTCAATTTGAACTTTATGTATAACAATTGAATCAACAATGAAGCTAAAAAAAAAAAATTAGAGAGATGAAAGGTAGAGAGAGAAAATGAATGGGTATGGCACCGATCAATGGAGAACAGGCAATCACGTTCAGAGTTAGATTAGTGAAAAAGGAAGTTGGTAACAGTTTTTGTTGATAATATCCACCCTGATGGCAGGGAAACAGAACTGTGGGGCAAGATCATGCAACCCAGGAGAATCCTTGACTTCTACATTCTCCTCGAGGAAACTGTTTAGGCGTAGCAAATTTAGCTTTTCTCGCTTCAAAGATTTGCGTGAGACTCTCTTAGTCATAAGGGCTTTGGATGGTTCAGCGTGGAATGGATGGAGGCTAAGGGTGAGCCTGGCCAAATATGAGAAAGGTTACAATGGCACCCCAGCAACAAAACATGTGCAACGAAAAACACTCCTTACTCGACCTATCTCGCGTATGAAGTTAAAGGAGGATGCGAGACCTACCTATGCAAGAGTAACAAAAAGGCATTCTCCAACCCAGCAGAAAACATTGATGGTAGGCAATGCCAATGCAACGAGCCAAAAGGGATTGTACAACCGGTACTAGGTGACAAGACTCAAACACAAAACAAGATTGTTGTGGAAGAGGAAGAACTGGATACAGCATGGCTGGAAAAGTGTGCAGTGGCAGAAGTCAAAAACCCTCACGCTATTAACAGGCTTTAGCAGTACATTCTTAGTGAAGGAGTTATGCACTTTTCATTCGAGTTTTTTCCCAAGATGGTGTCCTTCAAACTCTTTATTCTTTAATGAGAGTTATTTTAAATTTATTTCTCTAAATAAGGTTGTCTAAGCCACATCATTTCCATGTCATTTTTTATAAAATAAAACAATTTCCATGTCAGTAAGAAAAATATGTAAAAAATAAACAAATTAAAACAAAACCTTAAACCCCTGCCACTCTATTCTTCTACCTCTCAAGAAGCTGATGCCCAGAACGAACCTTCTATGTTTCCTTATTAACCTTTTCCTTGGGGTTGAATCAAATGAAAACCCATTACAGCCTTTTGTTGCAAAAGAGTTTTTTCAATTTTTGAAGGAAAAGTGCGACTTGTCCAGGTTTGGAGTTTCAAATTGTAGTGGTGGCAGTGCCAATAATGGTCAAGTTCGGGGAAATTGATTTCTGAGAAGAAAGATGGGTGGCACTCAAGAGTGCATAGTCTTAATGGGCAAGGCAAATCCCGGCTACAGAATGGGGAATCATCCTCCATAATTGGTACTGCTCTTACTTTGACTCTGACTCATTACTATATCTTTTTTTTTTTTTGGTATATTTGCTTTGGTTTCCATTGTGCCATTTTAAAAAAATCAATTAATTTGTAAGAATTTCCAATGCATACTCAAGCATATGTTGTTTGAGGCTCGACTCTATTATTAGAACATGGGATTGAGAAAGATTTGCTTTTGGAGATGATTTGACGGGGTAGCCTTTCTTTTTATCAAAAAAGGGTATTATA